TTTTTTCCTGTTAAAAGGGAGTTTTTCCTCTCCACTGTCGCTACAAGCATGCTTGGTGTGAGGGATTGCCTTCTAGTCAATGAGTCAACTGGTTTTCCTTAGATAGAAATCTTTGAATTAATTTGTCTGGATGATCTGGTTGAACTGTAAAGTGCCTTGAGATGACGTGTTGTTAATTGGCGCTATATAAATAAACTGAATTGATTTATTTATTGTAATTTTGATATGGCTTGCAGATAATAAAAAGCTAAAATCCAGGGACTGAGAAAGTTAGGCTAAAATGGAAAAACTAAAATGTTAGAAACATGTCCTACTATAATCAGATACAGTAATTAACTCAAAATACATGCAAATGTTTCCAATGCCTCTAAATAGTCTTCAAGAGTGGGTCAGGAGGCAACACACTCATGGGGAAGAGTGCTTACTTAACCGATGCCCAGAGGACAGTCATTAACACCCTCTACAAGGAGGCTAAGACAAAGGTCATAGAAAGTTAAGTGGAAGGAAAATAAATGACTACATAAAGGGGCACCAACTACAGTGAGACGACCAGTTTTGCTGTAGTTGTTGAGTCGTTCTCAACCAGTTTTGAGAAGATTGTCAAGTCCATTTCTAGTTTTAGGATGAATTACAATGAGTAGACTTAATGTGGATCAATATCCACTGCGAACAGCTGAATCTTGTCCTGATACAGTCATCAGAAATGCCTTAAATGGAGGAAGGGTGGTGTGGATGAAAAATTTAGATTTCTATTCATTTCTTCTTTCATATATTGATTTACACCATTTACATACTGAATTTTTTTTACTCAGTTTGTTGCACATACAAGACAACAAAATGTCTGAGTGATGAGTGTTTGGGACAAGAAATACTTATTCCCATAACAAGCCAGATTCTTTCTCAACGTTTATTCGTAACATTTTACTGTTTAACCAAAGTGTCTGTAATTTGTTTTGACTTGGACTACTTTCCATTTTTGTAAGGGAGACAAACTCTGTCTGGATCAGAACATTATACATGCGTGACTTTGTGGATGTCTTTTTCTCAATTTACTTGGAAAAGTAAATAAAGTGCCGACTGAGTAAAACCATCTTTCTCTGTTTATTTAACTGGACTGCATAGTTGAATACTTATTTTGCATGACAATTAGCGAGGAACAAATCTGTTTCACATTTTAATTTGCTTAGACGAAGCTATAGTTACTGCTGGTTGGTTTGGGGACTGAAAAGTAAATGATGAAACCTATTGCTGAGCAAAGTCAATGTGAAGTGTATTTTTTTTCCCCACGATAAACCACATTAACAAATAATTTTAATAACACTGAAGAAAAGTGCTTCAGTTCTCCACCTGTAACTTTTTAAGATTTCTTTTCCAAAATATTACCACCATCTGCAGTAGGAATTGTGACAAGATATACTTCAATCCGTTTTTGTATTTTTTTGTTGTAATTTATCTCAATTATGTTTACAAGTAAAATACACTGTCAGTGCTTTAAATAAACAGCTGCTTTCAGTTCCATGACTTTAGTTTACATTTCAGTGACAAACAAATAAGGCTCTCCAAGAGGGGATTTGTTAAAAGAAACTTGTGCAATGTATTACATTTCGCTAATGTAAGCTATGAAAACCCAAAAGCTATTGGAATAATCTCAACAACTTTGATAGGAACAATAGAGAACACTGACTTTGTTTTTTCCTCCAGCTGGATGCAGAAATGTGGCGTTTTGCATTAAAGTGGGTGTCAATGGTGATAATACTTCCATATTTTAACTATTTAACTCTTTTTTTAAAAGAAAAAATAATAACTGATCTTGTTTTTTTTTTTATCATAACTGATAGGCTTGAACACACCATTCTCAAAGTAGAAACGATGGAAGTCGTGTCCTTCCACCAGGTTACCCAGGGCCTCGGGCTCAAAGGAAGTCAAACCAGGATCGCAGATTTTCCTGTTAAAAAAAAAAAAAGAAAAAAGGAGCCCACCATCAGAAACTTTAGAAGCAGCTAATTACGACATAAATATAACTGTGGATCTGCTAAAGGGAACTTACGCGTAGGCTTCAAAGTCTCCATTGTTTATAGACTCAATCAGCTGTTCAGTAACTTTAATAATTTCCTGTTTGCGAGCTGCAACAAAAACATTTACGCTTATTTATCAAAGATAAACCAAACAAAGGATTATTTTATTTTTCAAGCAAGTAGGATCTTGGTGCAGATAAAAACAGTCCGACGTTAAAAATAGCATCAAATGGGTTCTAGTCTACACATTTCACACAAATTTCTAAACGTTATTAGATATGGAAGGCACTCAAAAAAAGAAGCAAAGAACATATTTTAGGATTTATCTCATTAATAGTATTTTACATTTTAAATCTGAAGAGATAAAAGAAGAAAGCCTCCCATGACTAATAGCAAAATCAGGCAGGAAGAAAATGCACGATGGAGGGATTTCTTTCATCCAACAAAGCTCCAAGTAGACATACAAACCAATGCTCAGATGCAATGTAATTACAAGAAAACTAGCTTCAACTAAGTGATATTAACAGTTACCTTTATTGTTATTGGTGCAGGCTGGAGGATATTGAAAAAATTACTTAAATTGTGCAACAAAAGAGACATGTTATAACAAAAGGTGCATGTAGATGAGTCCTTAAGCTTCATTTCCTTCACACATGAACAACAATCTGTATGACTGCGTATTTTTGTGAGTAAAGCACATTGAACAAAAAGGTAAATGGAAGTAAAAGATCTATGAGATCTGTTCAGTTTATTTAGTCAAACACCAAACAAACAAACTGGACTCAAGGAAAAAAATCCTGGGGAGTTACAAAGAGGATCCTATTTAGAGAGATGCAACATGAGGAATGCTATTATTATTCATACAGACTGTATGAAACTTGATATGATCTGGACATCATAATCACAGAATCTGAGACATTTCATACAGAGGAGCCATAATCCTACAAAAGGTAAACAAAACAGTTCATCTCCCCTTTTGCAGAGGGGACTTACTCTGAATTGAGGACGTGGGAGTCTGTCCCGAGTCTGACATCTGTGAGGAGCGACTCTTTGAACTCAAGACACCGCTCACTAAGCTGCCCAGACGGAGGGCTGACAAGATTGCATGAGTGATGAGTGTGCAATTTTGTGTCCAGTGTTTGTGCGTTTGAGCAGCGGGTGCAACAAAGACAAACACATTTGATCAGGAAAGGAATTTACAAAGGGAACAAAATTATGAGAAAGAAGAAAAATGTGGGAGGGGCATTAAATAATACTACAAACACAAATATGTTAGAAAAAGATGCATGCAAATTTAAAAGAGAAGAAAACTACATCCTGCAAACACCCACTTGCATTGGCTACCTTTTCATCAACTGTTTGCTAATACAATCAGAAACGCCTGCGCAGGATCAATCAGTGTTAAATGACGGACATGCCCCGTTAGTTACTGGTGTGCGGAGAGTTTGCCTACCTTTTACATCTTCATCCTCAATGGTGGTGTTGGCACTTTCAATGGACTCCTGACAAAGAGGGATATTAGTTTAAAATGAGAAAGTGAGAGTGTTTATTAAAGGAGAAATACACAGAAAATAAAATGTGCTGACTTGTTGTGTTTAACCTAATGATTGGTTCATGCTGTTGGGCATGGACGTAATTCTGTTCAAAACTGTCCAAAAACAATGTTACACTACAGTACACGATACTCGTCGAGCACTAGGACCAAGCGGAAACTGCAGCTCAAGCTGAACATGAAGCTTAAGCCCTCCCTCTTTTCTTGTGTAACTGGATGTCACCTCTGTCACTCCTGAGAGGCTTACTTTACAAACATCTGATGTGCCTCTGAATCAGGTCTGTGACTGGATGGTCACAGCACTGAGAAAGTTGAGGATACAAACACAGAAGACCTAATAGAAAACTCTCTGAACTTATGCACAAGATTTATATTAAAAAATATTTGTGTCCCCCCTCCACTTCTGAAATCAAAATTTCGTCCATGCTGTTGGGTAGTTTTAGCCAAATACTGGAACAAAATCTGTCTGTTTGCTTGAAAAAAAGGACACTGATCATTGTTTTTGCATTCAGTTGTTTTTTTATATGGACATATTCAACATTTTTATTCTACTTGGAGCCAAGATCTGTCTGGGCCTAAACAACAGTGCAACCCAATTTGAAATGTCAGGAGTTTAAATTGCCATAGTAAAAAAAAATAATAATAATAATGGATGTCAATACTTTAAAAGCATCATTCTAGAACAATTCTTGTTCAAATCTTGAACTCTAAGCAGCACTGAATGAAACTAAAGACTTTCCCGTTTTGTGAGTTAATGTCAGTTTATTTTAACTGTTCATTCCGAAAGTATCTTTTTCTTCCATTATTAACTTTAACCCATTTATATCTTCCATCTTATTCCCATCTGTAGTACCAAACAGAACAGTTCTGGACTAACCCCTGGCAGTATGTGGGGTCTAAAAAGCTGCAGCTTGCATCTCGTTTTTTGAATATTTTATCCTTGTGTTTGGGTTGAAAGTATCACTCAGGTTACGACAAAAACACATATGCCAACTCTGATTTGTTAAATCAAGCGAGGCCTGGATTGGTCCTCGTGTGACCAAAAACTGGGTCACCAAAATAACACATATTGGCTTGTTTTTAACCCAGCAGCTTTTTATATCATGTTGAAAAAGCTCGCCACTATACCTTATTTCCATCTACGGGGTTGTGGATCACAGTTGTCTGTGGCTCCTAAAGAGATCAAGAGAATAGAGAATGAGTGAACAAGTACAGATGTTTGCTGACATGTTTTTGTGTTAATTATTTTGTGTGTAGTTTAGAAATTTAAATCTATGTCCTGCAACATAATCCTCTGTTTTTGTGTGCTGCAGCGTCTTGTTGGGTTCATCAAATGTCTGGGAGTTCGTAAAATTGATAGTCATGACTTCCCCCTCCCCAGTCCCTAAACACTCACTCGGATTATGCTAGATTATGACATCAGCAGCCTTTACTGTATCCATGTGAGTGAGGTGTGTGTGTGTGTGCACGCTTTATGATGAAGATGGAAAGGAGGATAGAGAGAGAGAGAGAAGACAGACCATGTGCCTCATGTACATGCGTAATCAAACCGTCAGCAAATGAGGGAAGAGAAAATCTTTCACATCATGCAAAGCGCTGGTCACATGGCCAGACACAGAAAGCTTATAAGCAGACACTAGGCAAAATCCACTAAAGCAGACGGCCAAGGAGCAAATACCCATGTACTCCTAACAGCCATGCACAGGCAAACTGCGTAAGGAATGAATCCTCAGAGATGCAGATGTGGATTCTAGTTTCATATGCACAACTGGAAGGAGTAAAGAGACATTTAAGTTCACTAAAGCATGGTTTAAGGGTGTGAAGAGGGGCAAGGAGAAAGGGGGCAGGATGGAGGCATGAGGTAAAGGTCATAAGGGAGTTTGACAAAGGGATTATTGCTAAAGTCAAACTGAACTCTACACAACATGTACGCTATGCCAATCAAGATATATGAAAGACACATCAATAGGAATGCTCAGTATCTTTTAAAGCTTGTTGTGTCAGATATTATGGAGATAGGACATCTCATGCCCACATTAATTCTTGAACATACTTTCTTTTTTAGGGAAAGCCCTTAAATGTATCAACATTTTTATTAAGAGTTTCTATCTTTTCATGTAATGTGGATATCAACCATTATAGATGGTGAACCTGTACCTCCTCCAATCTGTGATATGAGGTTTGGATTTTTTTTGGGGGGATGAAAAAGAGGTGTGGATGTAGTTGAAGCCGATGAGTGTATATACCAGTGCAGAGGCAGGGCCAGTGTCTTTAGGACTGGTCACTGTGTTGGCTTTGTTGTTGACCTGCAGGGGGCAGTGTAGAGGGGACATGATACACGTACGCACTCTTTGAACTAGAACACCATCTTTTCCTGCCATTCCAAAGTGATCAACCCAACTTATCTGTCCAAAGACATCCTTTACCCTACTACTATGCTCATAACCGATGCCAAATGACAAAGACCTTTTAGGACTTAATGCTGAAGTTGAATTATATCTAAACTGATGTTGCATTTTCTAAGATCCTTTTTCAAAATCTGGGAATTTCCACCAACTCATTTTTTTCACCAACCCAAAATTCAAAACTGTTTTTGTGCACAAGAGCAGGCATCCCCTACCTCAGTCCTCGAGGCCAACTGTCCTGCAGGTTTTAGAGGTTTCCCTGCTTTAGCACAGCTGATTATAATGATTGCAGTAGACCAAAAGCCTGTTAATCAGCTTTCAATTAAAACCAGCTGGGCTTTAGCATGGAAACCTAAAACATGCAGGAACGTGGGCCTCGAGGACCGAGGTTGGGGAAGCCTGCACTAGAGAGTAGAGTTAAAGTTCTTCAATTTCATTTAACTTTTTACAGTAACATTTTTAGATGGTTAGTTTCCTACTAAATCAGTAGCCCTCACAAAACTGCTAACAAATGTAATAGTTTGTTTGATCAACTCAGCAATTAGCAACAGTTAGCTCAACCATTTTATTTGAAATGTATGACTTTTGGTCAAAAATATATATCTAATACCTTTATATATATATATATATATATATATATATATATATATATATATATATATATATATATATATATATATATATATATATATATACATACATACTAAAGTTTAAACTCTGAAAGGGATTTATTCCTCTTCAAGCTGCCCACAAAAAAACAAAACAAAAAAACATAACATAATGTTCTTGTAAATATTAAAAGAAATTAGGATATTATTCAATTTTGAAACACAGATCTGGGACACAATAATAACCTTTTTCTGTTTCGATGCTTCCAACATTTAATGTAAAAGAAGGAACATGTTAGTTTAACCAGAAATGATTTCGAAACGTGTCGAAGAGGTTATATTTTTGAGATAATTATCAGAATTCAACACAGTAACTGGTAGTAGCTTCAGTGCCACAGAAGCTTCACCAAAACACAGTTACAGTTAAATCTTAGAAAAATTGCATTCAAAATGATGGAAACTATATATATATATATATATATATATATAT